TTGACATTTTGTTCCCTCTCTGGAGCACCCATAGTCTCGCTCGTGAGTACCTGACGCACCCCTGGTCAAGACTTTTTTCTTTGATTATAAACAAATCAAATACTTTATATATTCAGCTCATTATTATTTTATGATATAGAGGGTAAATCAAGCATGCAATAATGGCCAATGTAAAGCCACATCCATGTTGTGAGCTTTAAATAAGCAGCTTTTATGCACAATTGAGCATCTAAAATCGCATGAAGAAATATAAAACAAAGTCCTGTTGGGTTGTTTTGTCAAAACTTCAATGTACGTGAACTTGAGAAACAATTAATTATCTTTCTTGTTGTGTTGTGATAGATAGATAGATAGATAGATAGATAGATCCACACAAGAAGGTAGCCTAAGTCATACAGGTTTGAACAGCATTTTAAAGGTCCCATATTGCACACCTTTCTGGAGTTTTATTTTAGGTTTTGATGTCCTTAAGAATATATATTTGTGGTATAAGTACCAAAAACCATCTCAATATATTTTTTACAGCTCCTCTCTCAGGAGCTCTGCTGAGAACGGGCCTGTCTAATTAATATTCACGAGCCTCTCTTCTGATTGGCCTGTTGTTTTCTGAGTGATGCACGGCCAGGCCAACCACAGGTAACTAGGGTCAGCCGACGTCACAGCGCTAGCTGGAGGCAGCAAAACAAAGGGGAAACTGGAGGCGGCCCATTCAAACCAGCGCAGATTCAGCTATATAAGGAGCTTAAATTATCATCTTGTTGTGATGTTGGGTGCCAGAATCGATGTAATACAGCCTCAAATTAGAAATTTGATCGCATATCTGCTGCCACTGCCAGACAAAAAAACCGAAGACAGCTGTGGTTAAACGCGATAAAACGAGCAGACTGGACAGAAACGATCGTCAAAAATGCTCGCGTTTGCAGCGCACACTTCTTATCAGAAAAGGTTCAATAAAGTATTCTTTTGTTGTTATGGGCGCGTCTACAGATTTCTTGCCATATGTCTATGTTTCTTGCATCTCACGACTATGTCGTGTATCAAATAATGTTTATGTGCATGTGTATAAAACAACAAACTGACGATTTATATATAATCTTTAAGCAGGCTGTGTGCATTTTACTGTGGACTGACTGTTGTGAAACTTATAGTTAAATAGCCCCTAGACCTCAGTAATCGTGAAAAAAGCCAGGAAATTTCAGTTTTGACAATATGTTGGACCAACAATCCGCAAACCAAAATACTGTGCTTTGTACTTGGCTACTTTATTAACTCCATAAACTGGATGCCTTATAAGCCAAAGACTTTTAATAAGCATTGCTTATAGTACGTGGACATGGCAACCCATCAAAAGCGCGCTTTGCAAAGCAGTCTTCCAAACATAATCAAACCACGACGATTCTGTCAACGGCGTTTAAATGTATGATGTCTAGCGCTGAAAAAAATCTGTTCACACTGTAAAAGTTGTGTAATGCATTTCAGCCTTTAGATGAAATCGTCTTTGGTCGTTCAAAAATAGCGGACACCAAACGCGCGATGGGTACCAGGTGTCAATCATCGCAATTTCGAGAGTGAGTTCTGTTCCATTCACACACAAAACAATAATTTAGGGGTTTCACTCCCGTATTTAAATACAGTTGTCACTCATGAAACTTTACAGTGTGTATGTGGCCTGTAAGTGGTGGGATGCTATGATATGCTGACAGGCTTTAAAGTTGAAGTGAAAGTGAGCCCTTGTTTCAGCAGTTGGTTTGACAGCTCTTCATAATTACCCTCGGGCACTCTGTCGCCTCAGGTGTGGCTCAAAATAACCTGAAGTAGCCTACTTACACACACTACGCAGTCTCCTATTTATTCCTCATCAGCAATAATGCTGTACATGATGCGTGAACCTCTGCCATTCACTAGAAACCCTTGTTAAGGTGATCACAATATTGCAGTAACCAATATGAACCACAATAATTCATTTCAGCTTTAAAAAAAATCCTAAATATAGTCAGTTTAAATGACACTGTAACCAAACATTTTCACCCCTTTTGAATGGTTCAAAATAATATCAGCTTATTGTTGTCAGGCCATAATAACAAAGGTATCTTTATTATTAAGCTATACCATGTGAATTGGAGAGTTGATGATTAATAATTAAGTGAATTCAGACTATACATTTTTTTACCAGAATGTGCGTTCACTAGGAATCGAACCCACAACCTTTTGCGTTGGTAACGCAATGCTCTACCACTGAACCAAGTACTCATACGTAGCTTAATTAATGTCACAAAGACAAGGTCACATCTCAGCTCAAAATCTTGCATAAAGAAGATAAATCTGAATGAATCTAAGTTTTATTGATTGGTTTATTGATTGATTGATTGCATGGCATTGCAACATTATTTTTTTATGACATTTAAGCACATTTCCCCCCAAATTCTTGTTACTGCAGTGATTTTTTTATTCTTTTTTTTCCTCAGTGGTGATTCTCATTAGTTTCTCTTTACTGTAATATGTTAACTCTTACTTTATTACAGGAAAAGTACTTAAATACAATTATTTAATGAAAAATAAATGAAAGAATCAAGTTATATTTATTTATTTATTTATTGTATTATATAATGAGAACTGGGGCAGCATATGCTCAACTGACATTAAAATTGTTTTTTTATGCTACAGATTTTAGATATTTATTCTAGTATTATTTATTTGATTGCATTTAGTACTAAGTATTTATGCATTGTGATATATAATATAATATAATATAATATAATATAATATAATATAATATAATATAATATAATACACCCCAAATCAACAATAAATCAATTGACTACTGGTCGCACTCGCAGCTGCAGAAGCCTGTTTTCCAGAATACAAAAACGTCTTCGTGTAGAGTGTACTTCAGTTGCTTGTGAGGCTTATTTTTGTACCTGGTTGTTTTTGCACTGATTGCTCTGAATTACTTCTTGGAAGGCAGTGCTTAAAAGATGTAATGATCAGGGCGAGAGGGTCACTGATGGTCTTGCCTGTCCTTTTCCGGGATTTTAACAATAAAGAGCAGGCCACAACCAGTGATTACCTGCTGAACAGGTGATGTGTTTTGGTCAAGTTTTCAGACCAGCATCAGCGGGGTGTGGATGGATTCGGTGGTGTAAAAACAAGCCATCAAGGCTTTTAAAGGGACAGTTCACCCAAAAATGAAAATTCTTTCATCATTTACTTCCTCTCAAATTGTTTCAAACCTGTATGTATGAACACAAAAGAAGATATTCTGAAGAATGTTGGTAACTAAACAGTTGCTGGTCCCCATTGACTTCCTATAGTATTTTTCTATACTGTGGAAGTCAATGGGGACCAACAACTAGAAAAAGAAGAAGAAGAAGAAAAAAAAATCGATGTCAACAAGCTGTAACTTAAAATGCAAGACCATACTGACCACACCATTCAGTGAATGAGCTCTCAGCTGTGAAAGCAAATTTTAGTGGGTCAAGTACTGCAATACTCGGAGGGCAACCCAGAATACATTGCCATAACTGTTTATATGAAAATGTGCATGAAGGGTAGACTTTACACTAGTTGTATTTCACTGATGTCATTATGCATTTTATAAAAAGCCTCTCTGGGGTTTAAAATGTATTAAAATATGCATTTTCCTTATCGACTTGTTTGTCTTGCTTGCTGTGTGTTTAAATATAGTCTGAGTAAACGAGGAAAAACCAAATAATGTTACAATTAGCCCTGGTCTCCTCTCTTAGCTCATAGAAAACAATTAGCACTCATCTTGCATACATTGACACATGCTTAATAGGATGTGTTGAACATTATGTATTAAACAAATGTATTTTAATGAATTATTTTGATGTACCCTATGACTTCATTATAAATAATGAGCTTGTAGGCTGTATGAAATTTCAAGATGTCACTACAGATAATAGCAACCAGAAGCTATTTATACCTGATCTGACTATTACAGTGACTTTTGCTGATGTAACTCAATGAAATCAGAACGATACAGTCACATGTGAATAAAGACTGTTAATTTGTATGCAAGCTACGACACAAAGCACATTTTTAGGTTAAAGGACAACAATTTGGACAGTAATTCAGACTCTTAATCTATAAAAAATTATCAAAAAATATGTTCACATTAATGCACTGAAAGCCTGGGTAAACGGAGTAAACCTTTAGGGGTTTGGCTTACTCCTTGCTTAGTAAAGTAAGGTAAGTGGTCCGCTGGTCTATTAAAGGCTTTTCTGCAAAATGTAAGAAAACAAAATTCATGAAACAGCAAAAATGTAAATGGTAATGTACAACAACAAAAAAACATTGTTTTTGGCTGACAGGTATTGTAATTAATTTTATATTTGCAAAATATATTGAACACAACATCCTGACAAAATACCCTTTTCTTGAGAACACACTTGAATTTGCAGTTTGCATTTATGAATTTCTGAGTTTTGGATTTGCAGTTTGGATCTCGTTAGAATATATGTCAGAGTTTTATGAATTCTATAAAATAATGATGGTATTTTAATTTTACTTTGAAGGTGTCTGAAACCAAAATAGGCTATATAAGGAAAACAAGACAACTAGCCCCAGTTTTCCCTACTCGACAAATCAATTCCCAGTACAGTATGCGTGCTAAAACCATGACACAAAGTCACCGACAGATATCGAATCACTAATGAAACTGGAATAAACGAGAGTCGTTTTATAGATATTAATATATATATATATATATATATATATACAGTGTTTACCACAGGATTTTGTGAGACTGTGGTGGGTAGTCCTTGATCCCTCTAGGGTAAGAAAATTTGGAACATTTTAAAGTTAAATTCATAAATCTGGTGCACTTTGAGAGTTCAAAATTAAGAGCTCCAATACAATACTCCAGTTTGCAAAGTAAAAGAAAAAAGCTGGTGAATGTACTTGTTCTTGAAATTTAAAGGAGACTCAACCTGTTCTTTTGATAAGGCGACCAGATCACGATTCCAACCTCATATGATGTTCCCACTCGCGCGCACTCTTATGTAGCCAAGGCGTTTAGACATTTAACACTCATATCTTCATTAGCGATCTTCAACATCACCATCCTCATCAGCCCTGGAAGACGTCGAGTCGTTTTGGACCCTAAAGTCATGGATGTATGGTTCTGTTCAGCGGTTCCAGTGTTTACCTGGAGGCTTCTCTTTCTTTCAAGCATCTTCCAGGGTTATTGGAGCTCCATGCTCGATTGTCCACTAACATGCAGCTGTTCGCCCATTGAGATCTATTGCAATAAGTCCGACAGTGGAAATTTCTTCCCTTTACTTGCTCTACAAGATCCGGCGAGCAATGGCAGTAACAATAATGACATTGAAGAGCTCTTCAGGAACATCACGTCCATGTAAGTGGGCTTCTATGCGTCTCTCTCCTACTGCGCAAAATGTTGATATATATATATATATTTCGCCGCTACTTCTTCATATAGTCAAACTTGGGTTCTATATCAAATGTGCACTGTTATATCAACTTTTATGTTGCATATTATGCATTGAAAAACTATTTCGATGATTTAGACATTTGCAATCTCAGTAAAGACACCAAATAATGTTTTACCCCCCCTCCGTTTTATTTAAGAACGTTTTAGCATATTACCAAACATTGAGGATATCGATGATGCTAATGCCGTTTTGCTGGTGCCAATTTTATGTCGTGCTTCTGCATTCATTAATGATCAAAGCGTGCAAGAACCTGTTTGCGTTCTCATTGATTTAATCAATGCAGCCAAGTTTGTTTTTGAATGAAATTATTGAATGAAACCTCCTTAAGGAAATGCTCATTTTGAAATGACTGCAAGCTTACACATTGGAATTAGTAGCCTATTGTCCACTCCACCCTTATTGCTCGAAATGGATAGTTTGTAGGTGTTCATTAACAGGTCTAAACATAAATCCGTTACATTTATATTATAGAAGTGATTGCAGTGATAATGTAACGCCGGTAATAATGGATGATTTGAAGTGAGCAGCTGTGCACCAACAGGTTACAGATATTTCTTTCATTCAGCACTCTGGACAGCTCCTGCAAACTGGGTGATTAAATTTACAGTCTTGATCTGTTATAAAACTTACATATTCATATAAAATATGAGAGTGATCTACCTGTTTTTCTTGCTGTCAGTCTATGTTTCCATCTGTCTGTTAGTCCATTTCATGGCTGGCTGTATATGCTATGACAGTGTTTTTTTTTAGTGAACACATGATTTATTTAGTTGCTGGCTCAGGAAATGGAGGGTATCCGTCAAAGTTTCAGTTTTTCAGGCAAAGTGTCTGTCCTTCGTGTTATATATATATATATATATATATATATATATATATACTGTATATTGCAAATATATCTTTTGCAATGGCGTCTTTTGCAATAGCGTTTTAAACTTATGACTTACTACAAGCACATCATCAAGTTTGTATGAGGCCGTTTTTGTGTTAAGTAGGTCAGGACTGCCATTTGAGAGTTAAGAAGAACATCAGGGTTTGGCTTTTTACTAGGAAGAAGCATAGCCTAACTATAATGGCACTGACCCTGTCTCTTCCCTGCAGCCCCTGATATCCATGCAGTGCTGGATCCAAGTTGTCCTTTAAAGGAAATGTTTTGCTCAAATTTGTTTGTCTCTCTTGTAATGGCTATAGTAGGGATTTTTGTTGGGGAAGCTGATTGTAGATCAGTGTAAGCAGGCTACTCTGAGCCATCTGCAGGGGCCCCTCTTTTACTGAGGAATATAAATGAAGCACCTTCTGAGGCAACAATCAAAAGATGCATTGATAACCTGTGGGAGCAGAGGAGGTTCAAAAAGGAAGTGCTTGAGATCTAGAAACGAGGCTCGGGTTGAGCTGTTTGAGCTTTTGAAGTTTGTTTTTAAGGTGATTGTATTTTAATTAGCTTATGATGAATCATGGAGACAAACGATAGTTGTGTTCGACATACTGTACAGTAGAGAGAGAGAAACTGCCAGAGAAGGCAGTCTATACACCAGTTTTCTTCCAAATTTCATATATAAATAAAATCTTAAAATCAACTTGCTATGAATTAAATCAGATCAAAAATCAAGAAGTTTATAAAATTACTTATAATTTTATTGCCAGCAACCAGCCCCCCCACCCCCCTCCCCCAAAAGTAACTAAATAAATTAAACAAAAATAAAGAAAATCTAATTCTCATTATTGTAATGCAAATGTATATATGAATGTGTATTTATCAAGGCAATATGTATTTATATAATATGGTAAAAAATAATAAAAACAACAAAAAATATATTACTGTCTCTTACAGTAATGAGAATCTAATGAGAATCACAGCTGAGAATAATGATAATTACAACAAAAAACCCTCAAATGTAAAACATCCAGACACATTATGGCAATGAGAATTTTGAGGTAAATGTGGTCAATTCCCATGAACAATGTCAAATGCAAAAAAAATCAGAATGGTCCTAAAAACAGGCTTAATTTGCTTTATGCAAAATGTGATTTATTTTACTTTTTATTTTAATATTACAGTTAAATGTGACTGTCCCCCCCTCCCCCAAAAGTAACTAAATAAATTAAACAAAAATAAAGAAAATCTTATTCTCATTATTGTAATGCAAATGTATATATGAATGTGTATTTATCAAGGCAATATGTATTTATATAATATGGTAAAAATAATAAAAACAACAAAAAATATATTACTGTCTCTTACAGTAATGAGAATCTAATGAGAATCACAGCTGAGAATAATGATAATTACAACAAAAAACCCTCAAATGTAAAACATCCAGACACATTATGGCAATGAGAATTTTGAGGTAAATGTGGTCAATTCCCATGAACAATGTCAAATGCAAAAAAAATCAGAATGGTCCTAAAAACAGGCTTAATTTGCTTTATGCAAAATGTGATTTATTTTACTTTTTATTTTAATATTACAGTTAAATGTGACTGTCCATGATTTGACTGTACCAATTTTTACTTGAACACTAAAATGGTCATGGCTCCTTGTTTAAAAAGTAATAATACACGTACAATAGCATGGGCTATTCCATCCATTCATGTTAAATGAATGAAAGTGAATGAATAAGATCCACGGCCATCATTTGTCATAATTATTGTGCTAGATTATGAGGTTTGAGCTCATTTCTCCATCCTAGCTTGGTCTCTGAACATGGACGTTCACTAAATGGGTGATGGGAAAGACTTTAGGAGATGATAACAATGCCTTGGTGGTCTATAGAAACAGTGAGGATTTGTTTTTGACCAGATCTTATAGCTCTCGTGAAGTCTGCTTTTTCTATTATAATCAGCAAATGTATCCCACAATGTAATGTAATAAAGAGTTGATTTACCCTGCTGTTTCTTTAAATGGAAATGTGCCCATGTCAAGCTCTGTCTGTGTGTTAATGGTGAGGTTTCTAGGTCAAAATGAGCACTATTCTTTATAATTAGAGAGCCTTCCGATAGCTAAAGTTCATCTGAATGAGCTGCAGTGCTTAATGCAGCATAATGCATAATTATGTTGTATGATATGGATATAGAGAGCAGAAAGAAACTAGATCCAGAGCTTCTGTTCAATTTGAGCCAGTTTAAACTGACATAACATTTTATTTGATCTAGCACCAATTCTTGAGCCAAAACATGCCATCATTTTTACTTGTCATTAGTTTTGAAAATGGCAATATTTTTACTTTAAAACCCTCACTGTAATGAAAATCAAGTTTTCAATATTGTTTAATATCTAGTGTTTTTTATATGCTTAAAGACAAACCATGTGCAAATTCATTAGTCAACACCATTTTTTCCTTAAAACTGCGGTGCACCAAAGGCAGTCTCAGAATTTGAAAACAGCCCCGTTTCCTGTTGTAACAAACATGTGACCAATTCCATCTACTTGCAGTTTGGGGCTTTTCATATCATTAGCAAAGTGCTTCTACCTAAAGATGTTGATTTTTCAAAGAACGGGAACATGGTTTGTGAACATTAGCAACACATATTAGCTGTTTGTCATAGTCAAGCTAAAGGCTAATGATAACAATACCATTACGTGTCTGCCTGTATAATTCACTCTTCCTCTTCATCTATGAAATCAGTTTCTGGTTCAAACCTATTTGGAAGAATTAAGCCAATACTGGCATTTGCCATTGTGTAGCGTTTACTATTTCAGTTAACCGATTGAAAATGGATCTGGTAGTCCAAGTTGGGGACTAACTTGCATATTCATGACCCATTGTTTACTAAATGCAGTAATATTCAAGGAATTTTAATGGAACATGCATTAAAATATGTCAATTTGATAGTCAAAGATGAGTTTTAAGGAATAAAATTAGTGACTGCAGGGGGACTTTAAAAATTAATTAGAGATAAAATGAATTGTTCTTAACACAAATGTTTCATTTAATTTTCTCTAAAGAAACAGTTTTAAATAATTTCCATCATAGTTTCCCTTCTATGTCCTGTTTTGTCCCACGTCTCAAGAATCAGTGCAAGATGAGGGTAGAGAGTAAAAAAACATGACAATTTTCAAATTAAATTAGCAAAATATCTAATTAAAAAGATCACATCATGAAAAAATAATAGCTGTAGGAAATAAAATGGGAGGCACACATCTCACATTAGTGATTTTTACCCTTGGTGTCTGTTTCTCAAGGCGGTAAAAAACAAATCTACATACAGTATAGTTTAATGGCTGCAGCAACAGTATGACAGCAGAGCGACGCCACAATGACACTCTTTTCCACGCTGCACAGACTTAGTCTGCCACCACAAGACTCGACTTTCAAGATGACATTATTTCACCATGAAATATTGAACACTTTGAATCCATGAACAAAATTCCTTTGATCCTCCTTTTCTAGGTCACGTAAAATCCTACATGCCACAAATTCCTTACCAACACAACTATTTTTAGATCCAATTTAATTAACATTTTCTCTCCTTGAATTTCCTAATTCCTCCTAATTTGTGCACACTATGCTAGTAATGATTGCAATTTAAGCTAATAGGGCAAAGATCTAGGCTGCGAAGTTTTGGATGCGGTCCACAAGACTGTATATTACAAAATGCATCACGGTCCTACCTGCTGCATAACATGCTTGAATAGATTTCAGCTGCCGTTTGACAGAACCTCAGACATATAGGTTCACATAATATCATGAAATGAAATCTGTCAGACATTCACGCATGCCTTCTTTCCTTCAAGAATATAAGCTGAGTAGATATGGAGATTGAAATTTAAATATGCCAGGAAGATTTTAAATGGAAAATGTCCTATCCTATTAAAAGTATGTACGGTTCTTGTCATGTGTGAGATTCTCCAAGGGCTTGGAATATGTGAGAAATAAATGTATGAAAGTGTCTCAGAATCCGACTT